CCACCTTAGGTGTATGTGGCTGGCGCCTTAGCCGCTTGAGCCACAGGCGCCGAGCCGCATTTTACTTCTTCATGCCCTTCCTGCTACAGATATTATGAAGATTAAATGAATTAATGCAGGAAAAGCCTTTAGAAGAGTGCATGGCACATAGCACACCAACATTGCTAATTGTTAATGAATATATACAGATGCCACATACTTTATTTCTGTATGATTCTATGATGGTGAATGCATGTCATTATGCATTTGTCAAACCCCACACCATGTACACCACCAAGAGTAAACCCTAATGTAAACTATGAGCTTTGTGTGATAATGTGTTCACTGGGGTGAGGAATGACAGTGGGGGAGGGGGTTTGTGTGGTGGGGGGATATATAAGCTCTCCATCCTTGTGGTCAATTTTGCTGTCAACCTAAAACTGCTCTAAAAATAAATTAGAAATAAAAATGCTATAAATCATTTTTTTCAGTTATTGAAATTTTACATAGTTGTGCAGCACTTGATAGAATTTAAAGGAAGCCTGAGGACATTATTTCATAGTGGTCTCACAACTTTGAGTAGGACAGAAGTTCTGATGTGTCTATTTTACATTTGAAGCTTAAACTCAAGTTGTTTAGTAGAGTGCATTGGACATCATTTAAAAAATCTAGTCTTAAGTTTTTTTATTCTGAGTCTTCTGTATGTTTAACAACCTTTTCTATTTAATACCCACTGCTCAGTTTTTAACTTGCTTAGTTGCTTTGCTTGTAAGCTTTGTGTCATGTAATCTACTTGTCAGTGTTTCAGACGTACCTAATATCATTTGAAATTGGCCAAGGCCTGAGGTAAGTTGGTACATTGAAAGAAAGCGTTTTCATGATTATATAAGAAGTATGTGAGCTCCTTTATCTCACAGCAGCAGCTGTCCTGTGGTGTCAACATGATGTGGGTGTGGGAAGTGCTGAAGGAGTTAACAAGCTGTAACTACTACATTTCCACTAATGTATGATAGAACTTACATTATAATAAGATATGTTCAATACTATACTTCAGGGATTAGTTTCATAGTTCTAGACATATTAATGTGTTTTCCTAGTAGACCCCTCTTGACCCTCACAATTCTGTGGAGGTGCAGGAATGATTTCTATTTCATAGCCATGGAAATTAGCTGGAAAATCAGCCAGGCCAGACCTTGCCCAAGTCTAGAGTTCCACTTAGCATGTGAAATTCTTGACTGCTTCTGTCCAAACACATTTGCTTCCAAAGAAAAAAGCACTGAGCACATCTTTCTACAGTGTTATAGAGTTTGTTAAATTCCATGTTTTTTAGCATTTTTGTTCATTTGGATATGTAACACTGAGAGCCCTACTGATCTATCTATCCAGGATCTTTCCACTCAAGATTTTTTAAAAAATAGAAGCCATATGTGAAACATATCAAGATTAAAAATAAACTGAAGTTATCTAAGAGTATTTTTAAAAACCTGCATACTGATCCTATACCTTCGACAAGAGTTTTCAAGTTTTCAAAACTGTAAATTGGGGTCACTGCACTACCACAAAAAAAATAGATTTCACATATTTGATCCTGTGACAATGTGACAAGGAGAACCTTAGTAGTAGGGCACTTGTGGAGCCTGTGAAAACTGATAGGCCAGCTGCACTTGAAAGATAGCTAGGGAGGAATCCTCATTTTCTGGGGGCTCCCATATATACATAGTAAGTAAATTTGATGACTGAGATAGGGCTGCTTGAGCCCAGGATTTCCAGGCTCCAATGAGCTATGAATGTGCTGTTGTACTCTAGCCTGGCAACAGAGCCAAGACCTTGTTTCAAACAAAGAAATAAAAACAAGGACTGGGGTGGGGCCTGTGGCTCAAAGGAGTACGGCACCAGCCCCATATACTGGAGGTGGTGGATTCAAACCCGGCCCCAGCCAAAAACTGCAAAACAAACAAACAAACAAACAAACAAAAAAACAAGGACAATACATTCTCCAAATACTACCCACTGACCAATAGATCCAGTGTAAGCAATTAAACACGGAACCAAAACCTCCAATATTTTGGGCAAAAATTACTATAGGAATTAGAATAAAATGTAGAAAACTTTCAACATCCTTAAAAGGATATATGAAAACATGGTTTCTGATTGCCGGAGCTCACGAGTTCCAGACCAGCCTGAACAAAAGTGAGACCCCCATCTCTAAAAACAGCCTGGTGTTGTGGCGGTGCCTGTAGTCCTAGTTAGTTGGGAGGCTGAGGCAAGAGATTTGCTTGAGTCTAAGAGTTTGAGGTTGCTGTGAGCTATGAAGCCAAGGCACTCTACTGAGGGCTACAAAGTGAAACTGTCTCAAAAAAAGAAAAACAAATAAACCAAAAAAAAGGGGACACAAATATAAGAGGGACTTTACCTAACAAATGCAATCAATGCAACCTAGTTCTTTGTGCCCTCAATGAATCCCCAACAATTTAAAAAAATGTCTTTAAAAAAAGAAACACGGTTTCTATGAAAAGGAAGCGAATATTATAGTAAATTAAAGAGGAAAAGGAAGGTGTGTAAGTTTAAGAAAATTTGAAGTGCGGTAACAAAATTCACATTAGAAACATGAAGTGTGGCTCAGTGAGTAGGGTGCCAGTCCCATGTACCAAGGGTGGGGGTTTCAAACCTGGCCCCAGTGAAACTGCAACAAAAAAATAGCTAGGCGTTCTGGCGGGCGCCTGTAGTCCTAGCTACTTGGGAGGCTGAGGCAAGAGAATGGCCTAAGCTTAAGAGCTGGAGCTTGCTATGAGCTGTGATGCCATAGCACTCTACCGAGGGCAAGAAAGTGAGACTCTGTCTCTAAAAAGAAAAAAGAGACATGAAGTAGAAAAATAACACTAAACATCAAGCCAGGCATGTGGAAATCAAACTTGAGTTTTCCTAGCATGAAGACAAATAAGAGATTGGTGTGGTGGCTCATGCCTATAATCCTGGCACTCTGGGAGGCCTAGGCAGACTACTTGAGTTCACGAGTTCGAGATAAGCCTGAGCAAAAGTAAGACACCATCTCTACTAAAAATAGAAAAACTAAGGCAAGAGGATCTCTTGAGCCTGAGTTGGAGGTTGCTATGAGCTATGATGCCACGGCACTCTACCCAGGGTGACAGCTTGAGACTCTGTCTAAAAAAAATAAAAATAAAAATAAATAAATAAATTTAAAAATAGTGGTAGGTGCCTATAGTCCCAGCTACTCAGGAAGCTGAGGCAAGAGAATCACTTGAGCCCAAGAGTTTGAGGTTGCTGGGAGCTACGACAACACACGACTCTATTGAGGGTGACAAAGAGAGACTCTGTCTCCAAAAAAAAAAAAAAAAAAAAAAAAGAAAGAAAAGAAAAAAGAGATGATAG